GGCATTCTCTGGATCTTAGTGTCCGCTGTCAAAGCAACCCCTGTTGAAATAAAAAAAATCAACTCCTTTTAGTATCTACCTTTGCTTCCATTTATATGCATTTACAATAAAATAGTGGAGGAAAACATAACAAAAAGGTAATGGTGATTATCTCTAGGTGGTGATATTACAAACATTTTTATTACATTTTGTAGATCTTTTGTTTCTAATTCTTTTACAATAAATATTGCCCAACAACATATATCTCAAATTTATCTCATATATTTAATCAAAACAGCTTAATATTAACATAGTCCAAGATAGTAAAATTAAATTTCTATTATCTTGGGATATTATCTTCAAATATAAAAATTAAGCAGTTCCCCAAATACTAACAATGTTTTGAAGGGTAAATGTAAATTCCTACAACAAGAAGCACCAATTCATCTATACTTTGAATATGGTGAATTCCATCCTCTAAAATTACTAGAACCTGGATATACTAAGCTTTTTGTCCTCCACCCTGTTATACTGGCCACTCCATTGGTGTGCTAATTCCTCTTCACATACAACACACCCAGGATATGTTTCTATCATACCTGCTCCTATACTAACACTTCTAACACTTTTATAAGCTTCGTGATATTTATGTGTCCAACTAAACTTCCAGGTAATAAGCTTGTCTTAGCCTGGAGCAGTCTTATTGTCTTTGAATTCTTAGCACAGTGCCTGAAAAAAAAATAAGTGCTTAAGAACGTTTGCTGAATGAATGCATGTGAATGTTAGTTAATTATCATCTAAACAGCTATGCCTGGATGCCTGGTTATTGAGCTTATCTTATATTTTACAGGCAATGGGAATCATATTATTGGCTCAGTCATGTAAATATAAGTGACAATAAGACATTTTCAAATATAACAGCTACTTACCAGGTCCTGGTGGATACGGATGTGTACCTGTCACCAAATATTCAACTTCTTGTCCTATTAAGAAAAGGGAGAGGGAGAAAGAGAAAATTCATCTGTGGCAAAATTATCTTATATACAAGTATCACGTCTTTTAATGAATTAAATAATATTAAATTATCAACTGGATATCTCAAATTTTCCCAACTAAGCCCAAGCCTCAGAAATAAGGTAAGTTGATCATTTTTGCTTTCCCTTCTGAAGACCATGTCCACAGGTAGTTCCTTGATCATTTGCTGATGTGGTGTCAAGAAAGCTTGTACATTTGCTATATAGCAATGGTGTGCAGAGAGATCATCTTATCAAGTAATAATCCACTCAGGTTTATCTTCCAAACAAATGATTTTCCTGTGGAATCTTGGATTATCTTTATTCACCACAATTTTAGTACTTAATATCATCTTCCTGAATTATAGCCAAAACAGATAGATGAAAGAAAAATTCCCCACAGGTTAGGAATTTTTCCTTTAGTCTCCACTATGACTATCACCATATCCTAAGAATTTCTGCCATCATTATACCACTGTTTTAATTTCCTGTAAGGGAAAAATCCACCAACCAATAATCTTACTCACTACTCCAATGAGGAAATCAAGCTGTTAAATAGGGTATGGTTCTAGTAAGTCCTTCCAGAAGAAGCACTAAGACATTTCATTTTTCTATTTTTAAAATTCACATATAAATCCTGACATTTCTGACAATGCCATACTCACCTTGATTGGCAGGATATTGTTTGTGTCCATATGAATCTGATGCATTCTGAGGGCCTTTCTCTTTAAGATTTTCTTTTGAAGTAGGCATATGCAACACAGGACCATACTCATTACGCAGCTTGATTGCCATTTTTCGTTTGTGACTATTTAAAAATTATAAACATAAAAATGTATCTTTGAGTACTTTAAATATATTCATCAATGTAAATATATTCACAGATATCCAGGAAACAAGTATTTAAGTAGCTTAAGTTTGCCTAATCATGTAGAAAAAGTTACTATTAAGATTTTAAGTTAAACAATATTTTTAAAAATTTCCAAGTGCATTTCCACACTTTTGTTCACAATCTACCACATAGCATCCATTAAGTAATAGTTTAGTTTGTTAACCAATTATATAAAAACTTTCATGTTGATTTATCAAAGGTCTAAATCATTTTAAAATATATAGAAACTAATATATCCTTTAAAAAATCTCAAAGTCAGTATACTTTCCTTCAAATGTTTAAATATAAAAATACAGTAAAAGCTTCTATAGTAACCTTTCCTGGATATACCTAGAAAGATTAGTTCAAATTAATCCAAGTACTTAATTCAGCATTTTAGAAACAAATGCACTTATTATGCTACTTTTAAGGATAGTCCACTTGGTAAATTAAATATAAATGCTTGTTTGAGGAATTAGGTAGATTTTTAAAGAAGGGTAAAGGACAAAGAAGGAACACTGCACATAATGCAATCCCAGACTGGAGCTGGAGATGTAGAACCAAAAATATGCCACCACTCAAAAATCTTCATCATACTAACGAGAAAAGATGGGAGTAGAGGTACTGGCCAGGTACAATTTCAGCTCAGCAAGGCTCTGAGAGGAGCAGGAAGCTGAAAGCACATACAAAGTGATTGATTATAAAATATAACGCCTAAAAGGGACTCTCCTAATTACTGGGTATTTGTAAAATGCAATTAATTAATGGGACTTTTACTGTAAAAGATAAGGCCAAAAAAATAAAGTTAACTCAGCTTAAATTATGCCCAAACACCACTCATTACTGAATAGATATCCTATGAGTTAGTATTACTTACTAATCTTTAAACCTTCCCCTCTCCCTGCTCTCTTCCCCCAATATTATAAGTTGAAATACTCTACCAGTTTAAAAGGAACTATCCCTACCTCTCTTCATCCAAAGGCACAGGTTTTCCATTATCAGCCACAAACATGTCATGGGTTCTCTTCAATGACCTGAACACAAGTGTGTGCACAGAATGTTTCTGTACCTCCTAGAACAAAGAGTATAATTACATATCTAGCTACAAATTATATATACCATAACCTAAATTAAAGTCAAATTATACACTTTACATGTTTAAATATGTAAAAAGCTTTGTACCACTCACCACAGCTATCTGTAGCAAGCTATAGGAGTCAAGTTCAGAGAAGAGGAAGAAGCTCCTCTTGGGCCAGAGCCCCAGGTATACCAGCTGAGTGATGCCTGAGATTAGTCATTTACTCAATAAATATTTACTGAACTCATACTAACTGAGTGGCAGGTATTGTGCTAGAAACTAACAACAGAATGATGAAAGGCAGCCACGGTCCCTGTGTCTTGGAAACAGGCAAATAAAAATAAACAAAGTAACGCCACATTTTAATAAGTGCTATGAAGGAAACAAGCAGGGGGCTGAGACCGAGGACAGAAGAAGACCTTAGGGTGGTAATGAAAGATCTCTCTGAGGTGGCAGCTAAGCAGAGAGAGAGTTAGCCTTGCACAAAATAGAGGTAAGAACAATCCAGGCAGAGACAAAAGGCCATGTAAATACAAAGGCGTTCGGTAACCGAAATAATGTCAGAACCTGCAGTACAGCTGTGTATGTTCGGTGAAAGGGTGGGTTGATGATGCAAGATGAGGTTGTAAGGATAGACAAGGTCCAGATAAGTTTTTTTTATACCATTGCAACGGTCTGCATTTTTGCTCTAGATACACAGGGCCACCAAAGGGTCTTAAGCAAGAAAAGCTTGAACATCCTACGTTTTAAACTGATCTATTTACTGGGGGTGGGGGAGGGGTGACAGAAACAGAAGCAAGGACACCACCTAAGAGCTAGTGCATCAGCGTTGGTGGAACATGATGTGGTCTGAATTCAGGTGATGGCAGTGGGCCTGGGCAAGAGTCAAGAATTCTGAGATAAAACGAACAAGGCTTGCTAATAGTTGTTCAAGCTAGCGGAAAATGCAAAAATTCAAGAATGGCAGGTTTTCCCGGGGAAGAGCTTTAGTAAGACAAAAAATGAAGACCAGAGAAGACCGCCAGTTTTTTAAGACACAGAATCACCGACTCGACCCAGCAGGCAGCGAGTACCACTGGTCGAACATCGACAGAAACCCCGCCTCAGAGGACAGTGCCCAGCTCAAGTGCCCAAGGGCCAAATGAAAACTGGAGGAATTATCTCAGGCTTCCCGCCCAGACAGAACCTCCAACTTGTGCTCTCATCCGGCTTCTCTGCCTCCCTAAAAACCTTAATAGACTACCCGGCCTCGGCCAAACAGCCTCCCCTTGAAGCCGCTACTCTCCCCTGACTCCCAGCACCCTCGATCCCTCACGCCCGCCGCCAAAGAAAAATAATCCAGAACAGATGGCCCCTGGGCACCCAAGGGTCACTTTACCTCGACCATGACGCCGCGGTCTACCCAGTCGCTCCAGCAAGGAAGAAACACCAACCAACTGGACGGAAACCTCCGCCACAACTACTCAGCCCCTTCCTGAATCGGGCGTCCTGGCGCCGGATGTGACGTAAGGCTCTGCGCACGCGCGCTGGTGGGCCGCTGGCAGTCTGGGGCCAAAGAGCGGGCCTTTCTCCTCGGGGGCCGCCTGTGGGGCGGAGCTTCGGGACTGCGGGGTGGAAGCTGCCGGAATCGCGGGAGTAAAGGTTTTCGCTCGCTTCTGCAGAAATCTTGAGATAATATCGTTTTCTGTCTTACTCTCAGCCTTAAATATTGTGGTTTAGGGCTGTGGTTGTTTGCATTCTGTTCTCTGGAATCTTAATACTTTTTTTTTCAGACAGCCTCAGCAGTCAGTTCTAGGAAAGGTCCGGAGAGAGTGCGAAGGCTCTTACCCCTCCTTGCCTTCTTCGGGGGTCGCCTCCGTGATTTTTGTCGCCTGATTCCGCTACTTGGCTCAATTTGGCTGGAAGCATTTAGAAATCTTTGTAGTCTTGGTGCCTACAAACAATTCCACTTACACTGTCCATTAAACACTTGTTGAGTGAATATTGCGGAATGGTTTCAATTTGAGAAATTTTGGACAAGATTTTGGCTTTAACAGTATATGGCAAAATCTCAAATTTATTTTCAGCCAGCATAGTTTTTTGTTTTGTTTTTTTTCAATATCCCAACAATGATATCTCTTGGCCATTTCCTCGTTGTCTGATGATGAATGTGGCTTCAACAATGCCAGGGTACAGTTTGTCAAAGCTGGTGGAAGAAAAACACAACTGAAGACTTTAGCCATTTTTGTGTGTAAACAGACTGGTGCCAAACGATTGGCATTTTGTTTTATACCCAGGTAAAATCTGCAGTTTGTGATCAGTCGTGCCTATTTTTCCACATAAGAAGGAAAATTGATGGAACTGGACATTTGCCAACTTGAATAGACAAGCATTTTACTGGCTCTGCTTGTTCTTTAACCGTAGTCAGTTTCCACAGATCTTGTCACCAGAGCATGTTGTGTATACTTTGAGAGGGAGAAAAATCTATCAAAAGTATAACAATGTGAATTGATCATCTCATTTAGGAATTAATTTTTAATTCATTACAAAAATTAAGGCCATCCTTCTATTTGAAAATATAATCATCTCTGAATTTGAGTGTAAGTTTGGCCTTAAGAACTGATTTTCTATAGCAGTGGCCACTGATGGTAGGCCTTGCAAGGAAATGCCATAATTATAAAATATGTACTTGGGAAAATAAATTAGAGTATACCTTACCTATAGATAGAAATAACTATACAAAAGAACATGACAAGCAAAGGGCAATAAAATTATAGAAAGATGAGCAAGATTCTAATATATCTATGGCAATATAGATAAAGATGTGTTACATGTATACAGTGGAATATTACTCAGCCATAAAAAACCAAAATAATGCCATTTGCAGCAACATGGATTGTCATATTGAGTGAAGTAAGACAGAGAAAGACAAATATCGTATGATATCGCTTATATATGGAATCTGAAAAAAAAGGATAGAGATGAACTTATCTACAAAACAGAAATAGAGTTACAGATGTAGAAAATAAATTTATGGTTACCAGGGAAGGGGGAGGGATAAATTGGAAGATTGGGATTGACATATACACACTACTATATATAGCATAGATAACTAATAAGAATCTACTGTATAGTACAGGGAACTCTACTCAATACTCTGTAATGGCCAATATGGGAAAAGAATCTTAAAAAGAGTGGTTATATGTATATTTATAACAGATTCACTTTGTTGTACACCTGAAACTAACACAACATCATGAATCAACTATACTCCAACAAAAATAAAAAAAAAAAAAAAAGAATCCCTGTACTGGCTGACACCTAGAGCTGCCTTATTTGAGCAGTAGGGGTCACTGCTGCTCTTCATAAGCATAGGAGGATTGTTCCCAAAAGCACACATGGTGAATACTTTATTAATATATATTATTAAGTCTGTTTGGGTGAAACCAATAGCACAAATCTTAAGGAAAGTCTCCCTTCATTAGTTAAGCTAATTTTTTTTTTACTCACCAATATAGGACATCTCTATATTCTCTTTCAAAAATCAATAGCTTTTATGTATGCAGTTAAAACATATAATGGGGAAAATCTCATAACAATAAATGAAAAGTATGCAAGTCATATGACAAAAGCTTAAGGGACATAAAGAAGAAAATTTGAATCAATGAAAATGCATACCTTATTCTTGGATCAGAAGACTCAAAATTATAAATATCTGTTATGTCATTAATCTAATCGGGCATATTTTACAGAAAATACTGTTAATTTAATTCAAGACATTTTTATTAAATAGTGAAAGATTTTTTAAATGAATGTTATAAAATACTCCAAATAAAAAGTTTTTATTTTCTACAGAGTTTTACTACTGGTACTATATACTTAATCACTTTAAGTGCTTTATTGCATTGTGTGAAAATATAGCTTCTGTTTCCAATGTGTGATTTATGCTTTTTTTAAAAACTCAGTTTGATTCCCAAACATTTGATCTTAACGTTCCCTTTGAAATAGTTCAGCAAACCCCAGAAGCTATCTCAGCTACTAATTAACTTACCTTTTAGAGGTTTTTTTTTTTAATTAATTAATTTAATTTTGTCTGTGTTGGGTCTTTGGTTTTTTTTGTTGTTGTTTTTGTTTGTTTTGTTTTAACATCTTTATTGGGGTATAATTGCTTTACAATGGTGTGTTAGTTTCTGCTTTATAACAAAGTGAATCAGCTATACATATACATATTATCCCCATATCTCCTCCTTCCTGCATCTCCCTCCCACCCTCCCTATACCACCCCTCTAGGTGGTCACAAAGCACGAGCTGATCTCCCTGTGCTATGCGGCTGCTTCCCACTAGCTCTCTTACATTTATTAGTATATATAAGTCCATGCCACTCTCTCACTTCGTCCCAGCTTACCCTTCCCCCTCTGTGTGTCCTCAATTCCATTCTGTATGTCTGCCTCTTTATTCCTGTCCTGCCCCTAGGTTCTTCAGAACCTTTTTTTTTTAGATTCCATATATATGTGTTATCATATGGTATTTATTTTTCTCTTTCTGACTTACTTCACTCTGTGTAACAGTCTCTAGGCCCATCCACCTCACTACAAATAACTCAATTTCGTTTCCTTTTATGGCTGAGTAATATTCCATTGTATATATGTGCCACATCTTCTTTATCCATTCAAATGTTGATGGACACTTAGATTGCTTCCATATCCTGGCTATTGTAAATAGAGCTGCAATGAACATTGTGGTACATGACTCTTGTTGCTGTGTGCGGGCTTTCTCTAGTTGCGATGAGGGGGGCTACTCTTTGTTGTGGTGCACGGGCTTCTCATTGTGGTGGCTTCTCTTGTTGCAGAGCATGGGTTCTAGGCGCCCAGGCTTCATGAGTTGTGGCTCGCAGGGTCTAGAGCTCAGGCTCAGTAGTTGTGGCGCACAGGCTTAGTTGCTCCACGGCATGTGGGATCTTCCCGGACCAGGGCTCGAACCTGTGTCCCTTGCATTGGCAGGAGGATTCTTAACCACTGCACCACCAGGGAAGCCCTAACTTACCTTTTAAATAGTACTCTCCTGCCATTAACTTACCAAAAAATAATGGGGGTACTATTTAAAAGGACAATCAGGTGTCTCAGATCTGGCAGAAGTATCAAATGATCAAGTTTGGAAGTTTTGGTGGCTCCTGCTGCTGAAGTTGGTAGGCTTTCTCTCTAGAATGCTGCCATGAACATGACATCAGGCCAATCAACCTAATTATTTCCTTTGCTTATTTCCTTTGCAAACATAAAACTGGGGGAGAGAAGCTGATAGGGCTAGCTTGGGTAAGGGATCTACCCCTACTCAGCCACCTGTGGCTAGAGGGTCAGGGTATCACAATACTAACAGGACTGCAGGAGCCCCACTCCGGCATTTTAGGGGTCATTCCAAGAGAAGGGAGCAGCACTCCAACTGGTGTTGGTCACACCCTTTGTGGTTTTGAGTCTAATGTGACAGAAGCAAAAGAGCATCTCTGTCTTTTCTCTAGCTCCTGTGATTGGCATTGGGTTGAAGGAGAAAATGTCCTATTTTTCTCCTTATTGCCGTGGTATCAGCTTCCGTAAGAAAAGCAAACTGATCTACCAAGTCAATAGAAGGAGACTTTCCATAAGAGGCAGAGCTAGCCCTACCCTTCTTCCCTGCAGTGTGCTTTCCCACTGCAGATGCTAACCAGTTATGGCTGTCACTGTCACATTAGTCTCAGGCTTGCCCATCAAGCTCTGGTCCAAGCTGGCTTCCAACTCTTCAGTATTAATTTCCCCTTGGATAGTGGTTCTCATACTGTGGTTCAGGTTAAGACCAAAAAAAAACCATACAGAGACTAACAATGATTTAATATGGTTCTCAAAACCTATGCCTTCTTAGACAAAGAGAATCAGTATTTCATTTTATTTATTCACTCATTCACTCATTCTATGTTCACAAACTAGTTCAACAGATATTTGTCAAGTACCTATCATGTGGCCGGTGTCTGATATAAACCACACAGTCATTCAAACCACAAGTTTCAAGTCCAAAAGCCTTTTCCTTTCAAGTCATTTTTCCCCTGGAAGGAGGTTAGGGTCCCTAAGTTACTGTTCCCAAAGCCTCACCTTTCCTGGTTCAGCACAGGGTCTTAGGTTCAGCACATATAAGTAGTTTTTATTTTCTGTCTTCCCCTCTAGACACAAAGCTTCATGAGGACAGGGCTTTTGTGTATCTTGGCGACCAAAGTATCCTTGGCCTCTAGCACAAAGTAGGTGTTCTATAAATATTTGATGAACACAAATTGACTTGTGTGCTATAACTGGGCCTGACTTGCATTGTAAAAGTATCAACAACAAATGCTTGACAATCAGTGCTAGCAAGTCTGCCCTTCTTGCCAGAGAGCTGCTGGGCAGGACA